GGCAGACGGCAGGGCTGCCTGCCCGAGGCACGGCGCTCCGCAGGGCTTTGTGCTCTGTTTGTATTTAATCTAAAATCACTCTAAAACCCACATATTTCACCCGATAATGTCCCGTCTCTAGGTTTCCATGTTTGAGAGCACAACAGTTTGTGTAGCTCATTCACTACCACACTGACTAAACATTTCTATTAGCCAGCCAGAGCACTCCCAACACAAATAAAGGAAATTCCCATTAAAAAAAATTTAAATTAATAAATTATTTTCAGATACTTCAGCAACGTCCTTCGCTTTTGCTGACATTTCGATAATTTTTTTTTTTTAAAGTTCATAAAATAACACTCTTAGACTTCTAATGGTCATGTAGAAAATAACGACGACGGAAAGCTACCAGAGGATTATATGGTATCATACAGAAGAACGCTTCCAAGCTTCACGCGGTGGTGACAACCGGTCCTCCCAAAGCCTGGTCCACCTCCGGACACCGACGCCAGCATCCAGGCAGTCCAGATGCTCCTTGGGAACGGTGCTCACCGGCAGAAATGGCTTTCTTTGGGGGCGGCAGACTAAAGTCAGGTAGAGAACCACGCTCCAGCCCGTTCCACCTCGTCGGGGCCAGAGGCAACCGCAGCGTCCGAGGTCAGTAGCAGCAAGTCGTTAGCGTTCGCTAACGGAACCCCGTGGTCCTTCTCCCCGCAGCCCTTGCGCCGCGAAGCCGTTCATGCGCGGAGCCCAGCGGTTAGACGGCTGATACTTGTTCGTCTTCTGCAAAACAAGGAAAAAAGGAAATTATTCCCTCGGGTACAGAAGCGCACACCCGATCATCCGATCACAGTGGTTCTGTGAAGACTTCACTACTTCATCGTGACATTTTCACTGTCTTCATGCTCGACCACAACACATCCCGTATCGCCATTTAACAAATCCTCAAGTACTCTGAGGAACGGCATCATACAATAACGATGTACTGCACGACAGAACACCCCCAGCTGCTCCAAAAATCATTAGCATGCAGCTCCCGATACCCAACAGCGACTGATTTGGGAGAAAAGCCAGCAAGTGACTTTCCAACATGCAGTGAGCGTTGCATCCCAAATAAAATCAACCAGGCACTTTAGTAAAATAGGTGTATCTAAAAGTGTATGGTTAAATTTGGTTTAGAAAAATTCAGATTAGAATGTTTGAAGCAATTACTTCCTTATTTTTACATCAAAAACATTTAATATCACAACTGAAATAATGCTGGGCAACTTTATACTGTACCGTGGTACTAAATACACATTCAACACTGTTTACATATTTTAGAGGGCCAAGATAGGATCATTTTGCATCAGAAATTTTTTAAATCTAAATCCACGTTCATTTAAGCCGGACTGAAATCAAAGGAAACGACTACAACATTCTAAAAATAATAAAAAAAAGAAAAAAAAAAAAAAGAGTTCACTGGCAAAGGGTACGGAGAGATCCCATCAGGGCACAGGTACTGCGAGCAAATCAGCAGATCAACAATTCAGTAGGAATTCCCCTGACTGGAAGTGAATTTTGACACCACATAAGAGCAGTCTTTTTCAGAAAAATCCCTTGCGTTTTGGCCACGCGAGCCGTGCCACGCTCAGCAGCGCTGGCTGTTGCTTCAAACAAGGTCACGCAGAACTTCGGTGGAAGAGACACTGCCAGGCCAGGCCGGGCTGAGCTGTCAGCTTTCACCCGACGCACTTTGCGGAAGAATAGAAATTCACTGTTAATTTGTCCAACGTTTTTAAACCCAATCTCCAGAAATCTCTGCTGAGGAGTGAGGCAGCTCAATGCTAATGCACACGAATACGAATGTGAAATGAGTTACGAGCTGTACAACACCCCAGCAAAGCCAAATTCCAAATCCTGGGTTTGGGTCACCGTCCTGCCGCCATGCTACAGCAGCGGGACGTCAGTTCATCACTCGCAGGGACTGGAGGTTCCCTGCATGGAACTTCTGGCCTGACAGTGTCCCTTAACGTCACCATCGCCACTGAGAGGGGACAGCTTTTAAAGACAAAAAATAGTATCTACATGCTCTTAAGTGTCTCAGTTGTGCTTTGGGAGAGCATATATATATGCATGTGTATATATATGTGTATATATATATGCATGTGTATATATATGTGTATATATATATGCATGTATATATATATGTGTATATATATGCATATATATACGCATGTGTATATATATCTGTGTATATATATGCATATATATATGCATGTGTATATATATCTGTGTATATATATGTATATATATATGCATGTGTATACAGCCATACAATCACATTAGCTCATTTTGAGATTAATCAAGCTTTAATCTCCACGAATGACCACGAGAAAGCCCAGAACATCGTTGTGAAGTAAGCACCGCACAGACCAGATTCACACAGCGGATCACTTAACGTCTCCCGAGCCAGGCGTTGCACCTACCATCCTCTTCACTATCTGCGCCCGTCATATCTGCTAGCTTGGGGCTGGACGGCTGCCGGCTATGCCACTGAGGCATCTTCGAGGAAACAGAGGCCACCGGTTCACTACCGAGAGCAGCTGACGAAAGTCTAGAGAGGTCGCTGTGCAGCATCTTTGACCTCTGCACTGCCACACTATAGTCGGGAGGTTTTAGGTGTGGGTGGTGGGGCGATCCTTCCTTTATGTCCGCTAAAGAAATCCCCATATATCCCGGAGGGGTGGGCGGTGGCTCCCTATACCTATCGTCCTTCTTAGGTGAGGTGACACAGTACACTGGCACAAGAAATAAGCAATGGAAATGTTAAAGAAGAAAACAAAGGAAACAAAACGTTAAAAAATCATGAAATGTTACAATGGCAAAACAGAAACTGATAACAAAATGCAAATGCAGAAACACTGGTTATAACGACAGCAGCAGATATTTACGCTTTCATTTATGTTTTCTGCTTGTTCTAAGCAGTCAGAGCAGCAACAGCACCCGTGAACTCCTTAGGCAAGGTGCCAGCCGAGCGGGACCAGGACTACAGCCTTCCCGACGCGCAGCCTGCGACTGCCGGGCTCAGCACGCTGCCCGCTCCCGGGATGCCACCGAGCTGCTCGACGGCACGGGCGGAGAGCCGGCACGGCAAAGCTGCTGCCGCTCTCTGTTAGAGTCTGGGAGACTGAAATAACAGAAACTAAGGCGACCAGCCCAAAGGTACTTGGCACAGCGCGCTGGCGTCCGATAGCAGGACTGTTGGTTGCCTTCCAACAACAGCCACTTCATCACCCATCCGTGGCTGAACAGAAATTCGGTATAATAAAATATCACTGTATCAGTTCATGTGTAATTAGATATTAAACCACCCAATCAGCTACGCTACAGGAAGAAATAAACCCTTGTACCACATGAAACTGCTCTTACAGAGCCTGCATTCATTATTTTGCATTTTCTAACAGCAAACGGTGGCTTATCACGTCCACGGTTTCCTTCCCTGTCCATCAGCAGCTCAGGTCACACAGGCTCTTAAATCAGAACTCCAACTTTTTTCCCAGTTGCCTCCCCTCCCAGCCACCCCCAGGTCTGGGGCTCACGTGCATGTTAAATTGGGCTTTTCCCATGTACATGTTGCAACAGGAGAGTTTCAAAGCTAGGATAATTTTTGAACTCTATTAGTTGAGTGAATTTGCATTCTTCTTACATTTTAAACAGTGTATGTTCGTTACCCTTTCATTTATTTCAGCAACTGCAGTGATTCCTTATCTTACGAGAATGTGAAAGGATGAAAATAAAGGAGTATTTCTTATTGCATTGGGCACTTGTGAGAGTCTGGGTGTTGGTATCGGGAGCAAGAGCTGGTTCATACCTGATGGCCTCCGTTCATGCTTGGGTTTACAGTAAAATAAAATAAGAAAACTCAAAAAAACCCCCAAACAAAAAAACCCAAACCCCACATGAATTCACATTGTCTGGGTTTTAGCAGACGGACGTTGAGTACACACAGAGAGTCACACTGCTGCTCCACGGGATGACTCTCGTTTAGCTGTCCCTTCACCGGGCCCGGTGGGACAGCGGGGAAGCGGCGGAGGCTCTCCAGGGACGGGACGGGCTGGGTCCTGCGAGCAAACCCCAGCTTCGGTCGGCGCCGGTGCTGCAGGAGGGCTGAGGAGGGCGGGCATGGTCGCCTTCCCAGGGGAAAGCTTCAGGCTCCCTAGGGCTAACACCTAACCTACTGTAACAGCGGAAGGAGGAATCATGCGCCCTTTTGTAAAGTTCCAATTCAGAATATTTTACAAATTTTATCAAAATGAAACTTTTCTAAGAGTATTAAATGTCCACGGCATGCGGTGTCTGTAATTTCTGTCACCCACCCACAGCCTCGGGAGGTTACAAAACCCTTTCACAAGGAACCCTCCTTCCCAAGCAGTTGATTACTCAAAATCCTCACTTCATGCAGAAAACAGGGCGAAATTCCACACAGTGGTTAAGGGAAACCTAACTAAAAGGCAGCAGCATAAATTTTGATGTCTACTACAGTTCAAAGTAACGGAGCAGCTTCTCCCTTTGGCCGGGCGGCAGCGGCACGTCACCATCCCACACCTCCTCTGCTGGTAAAGCAAAGGTTGCGGCAAGCAACGTTCGATGCCGCAGAGGGCAGAGGTGCCTGGGAGTCAGGAAGTCATCGCGTTGAGTGACTCTGCCAAGATCACATTCTGCCATTAGCATGTGGGCAGCGCCTTCCCAGCTCCTTTTAAAGGTTTCAGGCATGAAGGCTTGTGCCAACGCTTTTGGGGGGCTATTCACACCAGCACTCATTAAGCAAATGAACTGAAGATCCTTGTTTTGTTTACAGTATTCTGAACTTCGGCAGTCATTACAGACCCTGGCAACAAGCTGTTTGCAGAGAATCACCAAATGGCGAAATAAAGTGACAATCTCTTTGGCATATTGTATGATGAACAGCTAACAGATTTGTATTTGCAAACCAGAAATTATATCAGCTCTTTGTTTAGGCAGGTCGAGGGAGGTTCTCCTTCCCCTCTACACTGCCCTGGTGAGGCCTCATCTGGAGTACTCTGTCCAGTTCTGGGCTCCCCAGTTCAAGAAAGATGAAGAGCTACTGGAGAGTCCAGCGCAGGGCTACGAGGATGAGGAGGGGACTGGAGCATCTCTCCTACGAGGAGAGGCTGAGGGAGCTGGGCTTGTTCAGCCTGAAGAAGAGAAGGCTGCGAGGGGACCTAATAAATGCCTACAAATATCTGAAGGGTGGGTGTCAGGAGGATGGGGCCAAGCTCTTTTCAGTAGTGCCCAGCGACAGGACAAGGGGCAACAGGCACAAACTGAAGCTGAGGAAGCTCCAGCTGAACCCGAGGAAGAACTTCTTCCCTCTGAGGGTGACGGAGCCCTGGCCCAGGCTGCCCAGGGAGGCTGTGGAGTCGGGAGATATTCCGCCCCCGCCTGGACAAGGTCCTGTGCAGCCTGCTCTGGGTGACCCTGCTTGGGCAGGGGGTTGGGCTGGGTGACCCACAGAGGACCCTTCCAACCCCGACCATTCTGTGATTCTGTGACACACGCACGCTCTGCTGAAGCACGTGGCCGAGTGTGTCTTACCGGTGTGCTCCGACTGCACAGAGCAGGGAAGCTACACGGTGCAGGCTGTGAAAAGGGTTCAAAAGCAGGGGAAGAGCTGCAGGCAGAGACAGCACGTACTGAACAGGTAGCACACCATCTCCCAGCCTGGAAAGGCTACAAGGGCAGGGCACATGCACAGAGCGAGCTGTGAGCGAGTTTTCTGCTGCCTTTCTCCTACAAAGCCGAGGAGGAGGAAGGCAATCTAACACCTCCTAGGTGCGATGTTTATTCAGGCAATTACCTTTGATAACATAAACGCCTCTAGCAATCTAGTCAGTAATTAAATCGGATTTCAGCTGCACCTCTGACTCACAGCCTAGAAAGCTCTGCACTCAGTGTTTTATCTTGTTCCTAACCCAGTTCCTTTAGTTCTGGCTGCTAAACTGGGACAGAGAAAGAATATCTTGCTCGGTAGAGCTACGCATCTTTGAAAAGACATTTTATAAGTTTATCTCCTTTCATATGCAGCCAAACGGCAGTCGTATAACCAAACAAACGGCAGTTGAGCACAGCAAAGCTAGCAAGGGAATCTGCTTTGCCCTTGAGCTTCCAGAGACAGCAGCTCTGCGGATGAAAGGTGCCCCGGCTCCAGAGCGGTGGCAGAGCTCGTCCCTCTCGAGTCCATGGAAAGTCTGTGTTACGTGGACTTTGAGCAGCCAGGCTCGTTGCTCCTTGCCAGAGGAAAGTCTACAGTGATAAATGTTTCCAAAATCGCCCAAAAAAACTAAAAGGTCACATTACAGAGAGGAACTGCCTGACGTTTTAATGAGGACAGTTCTCCTGCAGACCCATAAAGTGACTGGGAAGTGGGCTGGTTTATTATTTCAATTTTCCTAATGCAAAAGGAGGTGCCTCAAAAGCACACCATCTGCACAGAGTTTTGAATAAAACCACACGTAAAGCTGAATTTAACATGCCATCCAGTCCCCAGACCTGCTGATCTCATTTCTTAACAACTCATTATCACAATGAAACACAGATGTAGAAGCTTCCAGAAGCTGCTGGCTTGGCTTACCTATCAGGCCTTTCTCTGTACTCGAAGTAACAGTTTTGTAACTTGCGTCAGCGCCGGGTTTAGAGTCCAAAACCTCCGTTTGCTCTCCTGTAGAGTTCTCTAGGCCCCTCCGCTTAATCGTCCCATAGTTTGTCTCGTAAGTGTCCGACAGCGAGCTGGAGGAGGCCCAGCTCTGCCGAGACTGATCGAGCTCCACGCTGGCTTTCGACTGCCTGTTGGTTTTGGGAAAGGCTTCAGAACACAAATAAGCCTCCTCAGAGTAACAGTTTGTGGGATCCACCTCGGCTATAGGTCCGTCCAGCTGGGTGTGACGGTAAGAATTGAGGAGATCCCAGCTCTTCTGGTTTGGGATATTCTGGAAGTTGTCATGAGAACTACTTGAGCATGAAGTCCAGCTTCCCCGGCCGCTGTCTGCTGCCTCTATCGTGATATGTTCATGGGAGATCTCCTCGCTGCTCATGGAGGATGTGAAAGCCATCCCTCTGATGAGAGCCGGCCTCGTGACTGACCAGCTACAGTGGAAAACAACAGAAAGCAGAAAAAAAAAACCCCCTCATCGGCTTATTTTAAAATAAGAGTGACATACTTGGAGACAATTGTCTGGTTTTAAAGACAACTAACCGCTGGTTTTAAAACGGGTACACAGCAAGGTCAAGTCACACAGGAGCACCGACAAGAGACACCGTTATTCCCAACTCCTTACTGCACACGGCAGCTGGGCAATTATTCCCAAGGGAATAACAAGTCTGCATCAGGTATGACCCCAGATCCATAAAAATCTGGTCCAGAGAAGCTTTCCTATCAGCTACAGCAAGACAGTGCCTGACAGAAAGCAGAGCAGTCATCACCTCTTCGTTTCAGGCTACCACCGCCTTTGTCTTTGCATTTATAAACTAAAACCAAAATAATTACTCAGAATAAAAAACAACCCCTTTACTGGCAGCAACATAAAGTTGTTTAGACAGAGTGGAGCTAGTTGGTTTTCATTTGGAAGTACTGGGCATAAATAACATTTGTGGAAATGATCTGGAGTGACAAATTCTGAAAACCCAAGCACAAAATGTCTTGTTCGAAGAAACGGGTGCTAAAAGCTCTAATCGCTGTCAATAGATCATCACGGGGGAAAAAAGCAAAGCCAGGTTTGCATGAATTTATGATTCCTGGACATTATTCAAGTCTCTCAGTTATTTCTGGATACGTTAGCAAACGCATGGGCAGCACAACATTAAAATTCAACGCTATCCCTCAGCAGTTTACTGACACGTTGTGAAATCGAGGAACATTTCTTAGATATGTGCAAACAACCTGTTTTCCCTTGCTTTTCTATTTTATCAGTTCTAGCATAAAAACTGCTTTCATCCCTCCAAAACCCACTGAAACTAAGTTAGGGGACTGGCACTTCTGACTCCGAGAGAATTGATAATATCCTGTTCTTGTTCTGTTGTCTCTCACTACTGCACTGATTCCTTGAGTACGATCCTAGCTTTTAACACATTTGCAACCTCCTGCAAGAAATGTCCATCTGAACCCCACCGATGAGTAGACAGCAGCTTGGTCCCACATAATACTGTAAGTTTCTTGGGAAAACTGGCTCTTCCCACGCAGAGCAGCCAGTACTCCAGCTTCTAGCAAGAGCTTAATAACCACAGCAGAGTTCGTAACTGTGTCCTGACCAAAGCTTCGTTACCCGCTCTGACACCAGGACACCAAACCCAACCAAAACCAGCCGCAGCTTACCCTGGGCACGGCACGAGCCCCACACCCCCAACAAAACCCACCCCCGGCTTCCCCTGGGCACGGCTGGCCGTAATCAGCCAGCGGCTGAGGATGCTCTTTTCTCTCTGGTCCCCCCGAATCCACCACAATGAGAGACTGGGACAAACTCCTCTCGTCCTGCAGCGCTGCCGACATCGAGTCCACTGAGCAGTTGCTCACGATGCTGGACCGGGATGAAATCTCACTGTGACTGGAGTCCGAGAAGTTATCAGATTTAGTGGAAGGTATGAGGGCGTAGCCTAAGGGAGAGGAGAAGGGAACATCTTGGTCAATGAGCAATTCGAGTTTACTAGGTATGACAACGAAGTGTTGACACACACAGTTCAGTCAGAATATTTAAAAGAAAAAACAATCAAACCTTGTTTGCACACAAACGATCCACTTAAGTTTTTAGGGTACTAAAGCATCTATCAGCAACTAGCCCTGTAATTCATTAAAGCAAGTCTGGTGACACCAACAGCCTCCCTGCAACCCCACTGCTCTCCAGACCAGCAGGTTAAACCTACATGAACAGGATCAACAAGAATAGCGGGTGGACAGACCAGGTCTCTCCAATTTTGCAAGCGCTGAGTTTCCCACTATCCCTCTGCCCTCCTGTTGTGCGAGACTCAAAGAAGATTTTGGCAGTGGATGAGGAGATGCTGACTAAGGTAAAAGCCAGCTATCAGCACTCAGAGATTAGCCATATGGTCCATTTCAGTTTTATTACCTGTTCCAAAATTAACAGAGAAGGAAGCAAAAGAGGGAAACCCAACTTTGGCAGGAGCTGGACCAGACGCCAGCGCTGCTCCCGCAGAAGGGAAACAGCTGAAGACCTCACCAGTTTCAGAGCAAAACATATAATGGGTTTTTGCTGCTTGGCTTACCCTTCACAGAATCACAGAATAGTAGGGGTTGGAAGGGACGTCTGTGGGTCACCCAGTCCAACCCCCCTGCCGAAGCAGGGGCACCTACAGCAAGCTGCACAGGGCCTTTTCCAGGCGGGTCTTGAATATCTCCAGAGAAGGAGACTCCACAACCTCCCTGGGCAGCCTGTTCCAGTGCTCCGTCACCCTCAGAGGGAAGAAGTTCTTCCTCATGTTCAGACGGAACTTCCTGTGCCTCAGTTTGTGCCCATTGCCCCTTGTCCTGTCGCTGGGCACCACTGAAAAGAGCTTGGCCCCATCCTCCTGACACCCACCCTTCAGGTATTTGTAAGCATTTATAAGGTCCCCTCGCAGCCTTCTCTTCTTCAGGCTGAACAAGCCCAACCCTTACCCTCAAGTAACTTCTTTCAAACACAAATAGTGTATATGGCCCCCTATATCAAACACCTCCTCTTCCTAGTACCTGGAGCAAACATAAAAGAGACTACCACACTGGGGACTTCCTTCCATCGGCTCTGGCTATGTATATCCTGTAGATGCTTCTGCTGGTACAGCTGAAGTGATTCCAGATGGGATACCTGTCCCCACTCTGCACCAGAAAAAGCCCTTAGCACGGACAACTTGCCTAAATCATTTATTTGGATGACCGTAGAGAATCAGGGAAAGAACTGAAATGAACTGAACTCAGCAAAGTGCATCTGGGCTGGTCTGAGGGAAACCCCACTCGGGTCCTTCAGGTTTAGTGACGGGTCTCCCTCCACACAGGGCAATCTAAAAGTTGAACCATGCATCCAAGAGCACTGCCTGAACGCTTCTGGAACAGCGACAGGCTTGGGGCCATGACCGCTTCCCTGGGGAGCTTGTTCCAGTGCTTCGCCAGACCCTCTGTGAAGAACTTTTTCCCTAATAACCAATCTGAAATTCTAGCTTTAAGCCATTCCCAGGCATCCTACCACCACAGACCAGAGAGAAGAGATCAGCACCTCCCTCTCCGCTCCCCCTCATGAGGAAGCTGTAGACAGCCATGAAGGCATCCTTCAGTCTCCTCTGCTCTAAGCAGAACAGAGCCAGCGACCTCAGCCGCTCCTCATAGTCATGCCCTCTAGTCCTCTCACCATCTTTGTTGCCCTCGTTTGGACACTTTCTAGTATTTTTATATCCTTCTTCTATGGTGGAGCCCAAAACTGCACACAGCACCCATGGCGAGGCCGCATCGATGCTGAATATATCAGTTCTTTCGACTGATTCACTACACATCCAGAATTACACTGTCCCAGGTGCAGAATCCAGCATTTATTCCTGTTATTCTTCATAGAGTTGGTGACTGCTCAGCACCCTCATCTATCAAGATCTCTCTGTAAGGCCTCCCTGCTCCGGAAGGAATCAATGGTTACTCCTAAATTAACATTGTTGGCAAACTTACTTGTATGCACTCAACTCCCTGTCTCCAGGTCATCAATAAAAACATGAAGAGCACTGGCCCTAAATTTGCGTCCTGGGGAGCACGACTAGTGACTGGCCGCCAGCCAGCCAGGACCCCATCTACTACAGCTCCTTGGGACCGACCCTTCCAGCCAACTGTTCACCCACAGTATTGTGGACATACTGGACATCTTGTCCAGAAGGATGTTGTGAGAGACAGTATTAAAAGCTTTGCTGAAATCCTGAACACCCACATCTGCTGCCCTCCCTTTGCCTTTGAGGTGGGTAATCTTGTCTTAAAAGAAGATTTAGTAAGGCACGACCTCCCCTTCATGAACCCATGTTGACTTTGACTCATGACCGCATTGTCTTTCAAGTGTTTTTCTGTAAGTCCCAGAATAATCTTCTCTGTCATTTTACCTGGCACTGAAGTGAGACTGACAGGTTTATGGTCGCCAGGGTCTTCTCTCTTGCCTTCCTTGAAAACTGGAGTAACAGTTGCTAGCTTCCAGTTGACTGGGACCTTCTCCAGAGGCCCACGATCATTGATAAATCACTGAGAGAGGTCTAGCAACAACATTGGCTGACTCTTTCAGTACCCTGGGATGAATCCCAGCAGGCTTCATAGACTTCTGTGCCTTCAGTTGCAGCAGCAAATATAGGATGGTCAGATCTCAAGCTCTCTGGAGCACTCATTTCTTTAGATAAGTCCATGCACCTTCTTACGGGCAGACTAAAGTTCATTCTCTTGTGCTGTCAGGCCACAAAGTCAGGAGGTGTCTGTTAAATCAGTTAGTTTTTATTTTTAAATAGAAAACCCAAAACGTTTTGCCTGCAATAACTCTCTGGCCCACAGCTGTGGGTTGTTCCCCTTTATCTGAGGGCAAAAGGTCTTGCATTAATGACTACGGTGTTGGTTTTTTGTTTTAATTTACATTTTTTTTTTTCTCTAAGTTCCCAGTGGATTTCGCTACAGCAAATCCATTGCACATCAGGAAATACATCCATGCCTTCACTAGGTGAAAACAGTCTATGATATCCCTTACATTATGTGCATAAAATTCCAAAACCAGAACCTTTATTTGAAAATACTGGATCATCAACTGCTTCACGTATAGGTAACATGCATCTGTATATTAATCAAAGCACTGTCTTTCTTTACAGGAGACCATATTAACACACTGTTCACACAGTCCTCAGATAAGCATTTTTTCCCTGAATTTCTGCCAATCACTCAATTTCTCACTTCGTTTATACCTACATGTGCCTTTGAGCTGGACTGCCATGTACTTAGCTCAATTAGGTGCAAATGTGAAATGACCAGCCATGCCAGTGATACAGGCACCCTAATAATGAAGACTGATGCCCTTAAGTCCATAAAAAATACCGAGGTCATACGACAGAGCCTCTAGAGCCACTGGTACACACGCCACTGAGCGTACAGCTCATAGCTTGAGAGGTTTCACAGCTTAAGCTTGATTATGGCTATAAGATTTTTAAGAGCAAAAGTGAGCATTCAATATCAATATTATCAAACTACAAAATCCCTGAACCTTATGAATGAAAAAAATGTATTGAAGACCAGCATTTTTATGATTAAATTTCAGTTTCCTTTCCTTTGACAATAATTAATGCCTCACATTCTTTACTTTGCCTAATGAACTCCTCTAACACAACTGTACTGCAGTAACAACTGTTCTCACAGCACATCTTAATTTTAAGACTCTCTTCTTCAAGAACCCCAAAGATGTGGAGAACCGAGGGACTCCTCTTCATTAGAGAGATGAACACTCTGAAAGCCGAGTGTTTCAGCACACTGACAGCACACGCACATAAACACGCTAAATGCAAGTCTGGGCTGAAAAGGTCAGCAGAAAAAGATGTGACCGAGGCAAACACACACCAAAGCTGGAAGTGAGCATTCAATTTACATCCTGTATGGGACTATCTAGACTCTAATTAAGGGAGCGTTGCAGAACTTACTGTTTCATTGGCATTTGCGAAACACCAAGTAACAGAACCGTCACTGTACCTGTTCCTTGATTTTCTAAACTTCACATTATTGTCTTCACTGCACTGTCAAGGTGACTAGCTATAAATAACTGACACAATCACCTGGAAGGGAAGCACACTGAACAGCTTAAACAGATAAATGAATAACGCTAAAATAACTTTGATAAATTCAGTATATCTGACACAAAGTGGACATCATAGTCTCTTTATAGTCTTCCTTCTCCTTCTAGCCTTCACGCAGAGGCAGTAAGATGTCCACAGACTGCTGTTGCTACAGATACTTGCTGTACTCAGAGCATCACTGTCTTTCTCCTTTTGGTTTTCACTCCCTTTTGAGGCTTCAACGTGCTCTGCTTCCCTCTTGGCCGCAAAAGCTGTTCTTTCCCTGAAGAAGCTTCTTTCCCAAAAAAAAACCTAAGTCTTCTAAACCAGGGTACCTTCATTTTCCTGGGCTCACGCTCAGCTTCGGCCTTTGCACTCTCATCCTCTCTTCCTCCCTTTTCACTTATGTCAGAACTGTCTCTTGCTTTCACAATCATCTGAATTCTCTTTCGTAAATAAGCCCCACCTATTCCATAGCTGCGTTGTCCACTGTTCTTGTTGCTGGTTTCACTGGCCAGTGATGAGGAGGAGCCAGAGAGATTCATCTGACTGCAGTTATCCGACCGCTGGATGTTACCAACTACAACAAAGAACACAGAGGCAGAGCGCGATCAGCGACAAGAGAAACAGCAGCAAGAAGAATGTCCTGACTTTGAAACATTTTTTTCTTCAATCCTATTTGCATGTCACTTGGGTATAGCTCAAAAGAAAACGACAGCTAAGATTTCAGTGGAATGTGTTCATGCCTAAAACGACGCCTTTCTGCTGTCTGTGAAGCGCCTAATTTTAGTTCAATGAGCTATTAGTACTACACATACAACGGGGTATGGATCACCTCAATCAAATTAGATCAGTGCTAAAAATATGCTGAAAGCAAGTTGAATTAATGAAATAATCCCAAAGAAACAAAATATTCTTTTCAAAGAACCAGACGAAAGTTAACATAAATAGCATATTTATAAGCGATGCTCAAAAACCTCAGTGGGGCTGGGTCTGGCAACCCAATAACCGAGCTTCTTACACATAAGCTGTGTTTAAGTAAAATAAGTGGCATTCTCCTAAAGGAAACAGTATCTTGTGCAGGCAGAAGTGGACGGACCAGCACGATCTCCCACCGAAAAGGGTGAGAAGACGCAGTAAGTCACCATGCCATGCCATGCGACTCCAGTGGCTTTGGGCTGTCTGTGAGTCAAAAGCAGGACAGAAGAGGGGGAGCAATGCCTTACGCCGTTCGACACTGACCACACTGGCTGACTACAAAGTGGTGTTAAGAGAGTTCAAATGAATTCCCATCCAAGGTTGACTAATGATGAAGTGATGCAGGTCTTTTAAGACGAAGACACCAAAAACAAAGGGATTCTCAGGGCATCATGACAGACAGGGATGTATACAAAGCCCTGTGCACAAGAACAGAAAATATGAATAGCGACTCGAGGGTTTGGATGGACGCAGCTATCGGAGCCGTCGGGTCTGGAGAACAACGACATCACTTTACCTCCAGCCCCAACTAAACACCTGGCATTCCAGCTCCCTCAGGCAAAAACTCAGGACGTCTCAACAGCCGCAGTCTCCGTGCCACGCTGCCAACTTCAAGGAACCTCCAGGTTTGCAACTCCCACTCATATAAGCAGCCACCTGAATCTGAACTGCTACACTGGCCGGCATCAGCACGTAAGAGCCAGTTGGCATTCTGTCAGTAGCACTTCAGCAGTTTTTAAGCAAACAACTGTTCCCCTTTTTAAACAGTGACTTTTAAGGCCAAAACATACAAACATATTGGAAAACTATGTCTATTCAATGCAAGACATGAATTGATTCTTGACATGAATATTCTAAACTACTATTTTTCTTACATGTCGTTACCAACAAATATTCCTGCCACTGCCCACCCCCGTTTTCATACAACACAGGCACCGGTTCCCGAGACGGATGCTGCCACGCACACCGTGCACGTTCACGCAGCACACGTACCTTTGCGTGGAGAGCCCTGAGGAGAAGCAGGTGGGCTGGAGTGCAAAGACGATGCCATGGACATAGTGTCCTCTGTTTGTTTCTTACTACTTACTTCCTCAGACAAGCTTAATGACTTCTGGGGGGAGCCTGTACCTACGAAAACAAGGGAATCGCTTACTGCACATTATTCTTCCTTCAAGTTAGCGACATCTGTTCAAACTACCAACAAGCACCATGGTGAACAGCCACTGGAGTATTCAGCAATGAGAGGAGCAGATCACAGAATGGTGTGGGTTGGAAGTGACCTTTCAAGGCCATCTAGCCCAAGCCCCCTGCAGTGAGGAGGGACATCTTCAACCAGACCAGACTGCTCAGAGCCCCGTCCAACCTGGCCTTGAATGTTCCCAGGGATGGGGTATCTGCCACCTCTCTGGGCAACCTGGGCCAGGGCCTCACCACCCTCATGGTAAAAAAAATTCTTCCGTAGATCCAGTCTAAATCTCCCCCCTTTCAGCGTGAAGCCGTTACCCCTTGTCCTATCACTCCCTGCCCTTGTCACAGCCCCTCTCCAGCTCTCTCGCAGCCGCTCTGAGCTCTCCCCGCAGCCTTCTCCTCCCCAGGCTGAGCAGCCCCAGCTCTCCCAGCCTCTCCTCCCAGCAAAGGGGTTCCAGCCCTCCGATCAGATGCACAAATGAATTCTGCACATAGGGACAGTCTCCATTTCAAATTTAGATCAGATCAGCAGCGGCCACTGCTGCTGCTGGCTGCTCATCTGCTGTGTGCTGAAACACCCAGGTCATAGCTGGAACCATTGCAACAGACTAGTCATGATCTTGGCAAAGGGCTGAAAACCGAGTAACACATAAAGCTTGGAGGAAAGCCTTGTCCATGACACTGTTGGGACAGTGATAAAAACCATTTGTGTCACCGCCAACAAGTCATTTTAAGATCTTCACCATCAGGAGTTCTCAGAAAAGCACGCACAGGCACTATGCACAACTCAGCAAGTTTAGCAAAACCAGTGTACCACTGTACTCCACAAACTGGTAATTTGGTATTTCTCATTCACTGTTAGACCATCTTGCAGAGGACACTGCTGAGGAGTTAACTGAAGTTCTCAACAGTTTGTTGGATCAACACTGAACGCTTGGCACACGGGAAGGAAGAAACACCTCTCAGCAAAGCCTCTGGATCATACCAAGTTGCAAACAGCATTTTACATGTTGCAATACACTGTTTTCTGAAGCTAATTCATGCTCAATGTATTGTAGAATCGTTTCATATCATTTACTAACTGCAACTAACTTTATTTAATGACTCATAGTTGTAGCTTTCAAATGATACAACAGTTATGCAAATGGGTCTAAAGCATTTTAACACATAATACTCCTTTGCAAGTAGCAAATTTAGAAACAGAAAAACTGATGCTCACTTGGAGCAGCTAATAACATACATTGCTCCACTTGACAACAGTGGTATTATAATGGTGTTCCAGAGGTTAAAATATTAAATGTCTGTGATTTTTGTCAATTATTTCACTTAAATATATTATACTTCATTTTGTCATGAAAGGAAACAAGTAATGTTGTTCTACTCCATTTGCACAAGATCCCTTTAGAATGCAGAAAGACAGAGTAAAAGACCTAACGCTCTACATCTGACCTGTTCAAGAGACTAGGATCACTTTAGTTAGGTGTTCTCTAGTCCAAGGAAGAAAAAAAAAAAGAAAAAAAAAAAAAAGAAAGAGATGTCTGTATGGTTTTCGGGTATATAGAAAATAAGCCCTGCTACAGAAAGTGCTAAGTTACAAGTCATGAAACTAAAGCACGAGCATATTTGGAGACAGCACCTTAGGATTAGCTGTTTTACAAAAAGTTACTAGAAATTGTGCAAATGACTAAGTCAACAGCACGCCCTCTTGAAAGGCAGTAATATGCTTCAGCTACTTTTAAGTGAACGGAGTAGATGAAGCATAACTACATCTCAAATAATCCACCCAACCACAAACGGCTCCTCCCTCGTATTTACTGGACCTATAAAACTCCCCAGACAGGCGGGCTGAGGATACTCACTGAAGGTGACATGATCCTTGGTCAGTCCCTTTTTCCTGCTGGGGTACAAATTCACAGTTGGAACCTGAAGAACTTGACTCATCCTGTTTTGTTGATGCTGATGGGCTTTCGTTTGGCCAATTGACCTCATGGGTACTGGAGACATTTCCGAGGGCTTCGCTCCTCTTCTCTCACTTAAATTCTTCGTCACTGTTACAGAAAAATTGCATGTAAAGATCTTGCAGTTTGAATTGCGGGATTATTACAGTCGTCCTGGGTACAGCCATCCAGAACAAGCAACCATGGTACGAAGCAGATAAAACACATCTGAAACCACTTCTATTCCAAACAGACCTATCTTGTTACACCGAAAAGGCTGTTACGTGAAATGGCGTTACAAAACCCAAACTCTTTAAATTGTCACAGAGGTCCTTTATCAAAAGACAAAAAAAATGTGATTTATTTCTAGCACAATTAAAGTCCGTATTTCAGATGTTTGTACATCAGGTACAAAAGCATATCAGCATCTCCTTCAAACTTACGTACTGCCACCGAGCGGAGAAGGAACGGGTGTTCTGCAGTCAGCACCAAGCCTTTCACTAGGTGGCACGAGTGATTTACAACAGAGCGCACCGATTCAGTTTCTACTTTAACCACACAGCAATAAAGAAACTTTGAAGTTAAGGCCATCTGGCTTCTCCTTAAATTCCCCTGGAAAAGTCCGGATTGCCGCATTACGGCTGCTCCTTCCTTCGGCAAGCAAGGCCAGGAGAATCTTACTACCGAGGTAAGAGACCGGGGAGCTGGACCTCCTGCTTCTCTGGGTATGCGCAGAAAACGGTTCAGCGCGCCCACTCCACCGGGACCGCACCACGCGGGGGCTGGCAGTGCCCTCGTGCTCCGCATCGCTCCCCCACCCCTTCTGCTACCAGTATGAACTCAAACAATTACCCATGTTTGCTCTTCCAGTTTCTAAAAACAGGTACTTTAATAATATGCCACTCCACTGTATATTTATTTGTACATCCACTCATCCTTCATTTTCCTTTTTTGACCCTTAAAAGGACTTGATTTGCTTAACTACATGGAGTAAAACAGTCAGAATATATTCCCTATTTTTACTTCCAAATATCTATGGCTAGCTCTGTGCAAACAAGATTTTAAATTATTTATTTAAAACAACTTAAAAACAGCCTCATAATATTTATGTTTGTCTCTTGGGCATAGTATGGCCACCAGTTCTACTTGCACATAGATCATCCACCAAGAGTTCACCCTGATACGCCTTAATGTATTGTTTCGGTGGGGATAGGGGAATAAAGCATAAAACCCACAATGGTGTTACCCCCGAGTAGAAACATGCTGTGCTGTTACACACCTGGCTGAACACAGCACAAGCAGAACACCTCTACTAGCAGTGTACGAGGCCGTGCGTTCTGTTCAGAGCTATCTGTGATTTTGGTGACCTCAGGCACAAGGTCAGTGTGAATACACAGAATTCACCGGTTTTTAAAAGGGAGTCGGGTACGGCCATTTCCACGATTCCTACATCGGTGCTATTTGAAAGGATGTACTAAATAAAATTTGCATAGGAAGGCACTTTATAAAATAACAAGCATTTGCATTCTTAATAGTGAATAATGGAAAGGGCTTAAAATTTTATCTTCAAGATGCCATCTCCTAGTCACGCTTGTAACTTACCTCATCAGAGAAAAAGTGATATTTGAGGACAAAAAAAGTCTTAAAATGCTGCACTTGGACAACAGACAAGCGTGAAACATTATTTTGATTAGTAAGGTTGCTACTCGTCCATTTTCAAACCAATCTACCTTTCAAGCAAGTGAAAATTTCTAATGATCAGAATAGAATGCAATTACCATTTCTCATTTTTAAATAAGAACTTACTGAACTGTGTAGGACAGCAGGTCAGATACCAGGTTGTTTAGTTAGACAGCTGCAGAGGAGTTCAAATTATGAAAACTGTCCTGCTGCAGCCCTCAATTTTTGACCGTCAAGCCATGTCTATCCCAGAAGCCAATATTGACCTCACTTCTCAACAATCTTCGTTTATTCTAAGCTGTAATCCATCACAGGTCGATACTGATTTTGTCTCTTTTCATTTTCTTGCTGTTCATATGGTAAACGTTACTTTTATCCTTCCTAATTCTGTACAAGGACAACAGGGCAAGCACAGAGCTAATGTACTATTGAATTTCCTTCCAGACTGATGAAAAGACACACAGTTTGAGAACTAAAGGTCAAAACAGAAAACATCTCTGAAGTTTTCTGAGCTCAGCCAAGATCAGAAGATAAATGCTGGCTTGCTGAAACTGTCAGTACATGAACTGACAAACACTATTTTTTCTTTAAGGGAGAAGAGGAAGATCTTCAATTAGTATTTCTAGGGAAGGAAAGAGATTTTTATAAATTTTATAGATCACGTCACCTTTCTAGGTCACTGTACTTACAAGTGCTGTACGCAGGCTCACACTGAAGTGACAATATCTGGATCTTCTCTTCGTCCGTCTCTACATTCAGGTTGGACAAGTACTGCTTCACCTTCCTCGCCATCTGGGCATCCTCGTACAGCTTCTTGGCGCTCAGCAGG